CCCTTCCCAAATGTCTGCCGGAGAGCGGGCTTGAGTGGCTCGGAAGAGGCGTGAGCAAGTCTTCGTATTCCAAGAATGCTCTATGTTCTAAGAACTAGCACATTAACGACCTCTGGGGCCCCAGGGAACCCCAATTTCCTAACCATAAAATGGAGCTAACACCCACTGTGAGAGCGTAAAATTATTTGATGTTAAGTACTTTTACTGGATAACTTTACTTCACAAACAAAAGGAATTAGTGCTACCATCAGGATTAAGCAAAGGTTTCTAGGTTTTGTTGTGACTCCCTTCTTGCCGTGTAAAAAGAAACCATCCAATCTGCTCCTGATCGGGGGCAAACGCCTGCCTTTGGAAGCACCCGACCACCTGCAAAGCACTTCCCTAACCCACATGGCCCCACCCTGCACCCCACCCACCACGTGAGGTAGACAGAACAGTGCACTCAAGCAGCAGTGCCGATAAGGAAACCAACACTCAGCTTTCAGGTGACGAGCCCAAGTCACACAGTGCACACTCCCAAGGCCAATACGTGACCCTCCCCCAGCATTACAACGCACCACCTCCAACATCACCACTGTGGAAGAAAAGCCATCTTCCACGGCCCTGGCGGGAGGGCAGACTCTGAATTTTGACTTGGCCTCTTGCTTTTCAGAGGCCCTGGCAGACGAGTGATCATCCACAAGACCGGCCCGCCTGTGTTCCTCCCAACCTTAGAAGCACTCACCCGCTCTTACACTGTTTCTGCAACCATTCCAGTTCTGAGTGGTACTAGTTTAAGAGGTGAATAAACATTCAAACCGTATGCCGAACGTTTAAAGGAGAAATTTATTTCACCAAAGATGAAAACTTCACATTTCACTGAAAAAAATTTTTTTTAAACTATGGTCAATGGGAAGAGAAAAAAGAAGGATATGTAGTAAGGCAGGTATGCATGCCTAGGAAACCAAGAAAGGAAGGGAGCGGGGGATGAGAGAAGAAGAAGACAATGAGAGCTTAGTAACCATCAGCAAGGACTTTGGACCAACAAACTTCAGGTGACATCATCAGAGCCAACATCCACTGAACTGATACGCACGATCCCAACAGGATCCTGGGAATGCCAAAGCGTGAGTCTGAAGTTATACGTAAGTATACCGGCCACGGCTAGACAGGGCTGAAATAACCACTTCTCCCTCCTCCTTGTCCACTACTGAAAAGACATGGCAAAGCAGATGCCACCTCGTGTGGGCAAGGCTGGGCACTGCCTTGGTGACTTATCGATACCAGGTAGCTGTCCCTAAAGACTGCCAACTCCAGCGCACAACTGAATTGAGCCTTGATCCTTACGTCCACAACTTAGTTCCACTAAAGATACCAGCCCTCCTGGGAGGAAGGTCAGTTATGAGTGATTTACACTTGAGCACAAACGTGTGAACCGGTTGCTAAGAAACTGGTGATGACAGATGATGGGTGAATCACAAAGGAGAAAAAAGAAAACAGAAAAGACTAAGGAGGCTCCAAATATAAGCACTGCCAATCCAGACACGTGACTACCTATCAGAAACATGCAGGCCAGCCCTCAGCAGAGCCGGGGTAACACGCACACCCTGGAAAAGCCTTTGTCAGAGGGCTACAGGAGCCACGTCTCTTCTCAGGTAAAATTCTGGTCACCTGGCACTGACCACACTTGGCAGGCACGCCGACACCCAGCCGCCAGCCCCCAGCAAAGAGCACCAAAGTCACCAGCATCAGAGAATGTCTTAGAGATGCAGAATCTTGGGGCGCCTGGGTGGCTGAGTCAGTTAAGAGGCCCGGCTCTTGGTTTCGGGTCAGGTCGTGGTGTAGGGGTGGGGAGATCGAGCCCCTGTAGGGCTCCGCACTCAGCGGGGAGTCTGCCTCAGGATTCTCGCTCCACCCCTGCCCCTCCCCCCACACCCGCTCTCTCGCTCTCAAATAAACGAATCAGAAAGGAAGGGAAGGAAGGGAAGGAAGGGAAGGAAGGG